ACTGCAGCCATAAATAAGAGGATAAAAATGAACAGCCCACTAAAAGTTAAAATAACAAAACTAGATTTGCTGCAATCACCTTCGGTCTTGAAATTTCTCCCGCAGTACGTTTTTTCAGTACTCAGCCAGCATCATTCTACTCACTTCCTGAGCCCAGGTCGTTCAGGGTCCAGCCCAGCCTGTGACTGATCAGTGAAAGAAGGAGGAGCACAGTGAAGAGCTCATCTTTCTGTTACTCTGCTCTCTCTTCCTTTGAGCATGCTTTTTGTCAGAACATGAACTGATTGGCTTCTTCTACTGCTTCTTCCTCTCACACTCTAGCCCTGCTGTGCAGGGAATGCAAGCAGCTGTTGGCGAGTCAGATACAGGTACCTAAACTGCTTGCCTTTATATTTAAACAAATTTAATGGCGGATTAATGATTTTAAAGCTTGGTTTATGTCTAAGGTTTAGCTTTACAGAAGAACTGCAGCAATACAAATAATTATTTACCTGTCTGAAGTTTGGCACAAAAGCTAATGATCCACATTGGGTTTAGGTCTGCTGGAACCCTAATGCCCCCAATGATATAACGGTTTCTGTGTATATTCAGGGTACCACTTTGCCATTGCAGGCCATGTGATCTGAGCCCAAAGTAAACCCTGATAAAGCAGTACACCTAAGCTAGTTACTCCTATTAGAATAGATGGTTGTGCAATAAATATCTGCATCTAACTGGATAATAAAGTATGTATCTTTAATTATATGACTCAGACTGCTGATAATATAAATATACAGATAATACACACAAAATGTATGTCTTTTGGTCTATTAAATTCATATTTCAGATACCAGTGCGGATACTTGGCATTTTCACAAGAACTACCAGGGTTGCAGAGGTTGCAGCTGGGACCTGGCTCTGGCGCTCCACCACTGTCCTGAAATCATTGGTCTGTATTGGTTTAGAAAAACTGTCACATGACAATAACAAAAATGTATCACTACTTGTATCTGTAAGTACTTAGACAAGTATCAGTACTTGTACTCACAAAAATGGTATCGGTGCATCACTTTTATATGTATATAAAAACAAAATCATTCATTAAAACAGAGATGTACAAATCCCAGGAGCTCCGTGTGCTCCTTACAAATGACAGCTGCCTCCTAACTTTTGAATTTTTCTCTAGTCTAGTCTGGGAGCTTGAAAAGTATCTGTACTTTTCCTGAGTACAGTACTTGGTATCGGTGCATCACTAACATATACCGCTAAAAATTTCCATTTATATCTGTTTAATATGTGCAAAATAAACGTTGTTCTTGCCAACAAATTTGTACGTTGATAACTTCCTGTGCGTTCTGCCTGGGCTGATTCTTATTAGCTACATTGTTTCCAGCTATATCTGAGGAATGCAGAACCATGCGCATCTTTGAACTATAGCAGTGGGGTGAAATCATGCAGTTTAATCCTGTTGGTGATGTCCTGATACAGTAGGGCACTTGAGAGAAGTCATCCTGGGACTGGAAGTGAATTATTGGCAGAAACGCAAGATTCAAATAAAGGGAAAAAAATGAAAACTAATTCAGACACCTCAATCGAAGACTGGTAAGCTGCAATATATTACATTTTTGTTCTTGAGTTTAGATATCCTTTAACTGCCAATCAGATTGTCTGAGGGAGAGCAAACCTCAGGAATGGATGGATAGAAATACTTTAACAGGTAAAACAGCCCCCTTATATCTATTTCATATTTCTATTTAGCTATGTGCCTGAAATTGAACTTTAATTATAATTACAAATTATTTATATAAGCAAGGCTTTTAAAAGATTTACAAATGTTGATAGCATTTATATCATTATATTATTTTACATTTTTATATATAAAAATGGACTCACAGCAACAATTATTTTGCCTGCAAGTCTTACTTGAAGGGTCAGTCCACAAAACAAATAATGTTTAAATTTTTAGTAGATTTTGGCAGTACTGAATTATTTATGACCTTCCATGTTTTTAAGGTATTTCAGCAGAACGATCTCTTCACCAGAGTTCCCAGCTGCTTCTGCTTGCTATGACTAAAGGTGAGCGAAATGGAGAGTTTCCATTTATCCCAAATTTTGGCAAACATTGGGGATTTTGGTGAAATATCAATGAAGAAATGAAGATGTTTTTTTAAAATGATTTTACCTTAAATTGTAAGCTCCTTGAGGGCAGGGACTGATGTAAGTGTACCTAACAACTGAAGCATCACGTTCTCAAACAATTCATCCCCACACAGCTACCTCCTCATGTATCACTTCTCCCTCACTTTTAGATTGTAAGCCCTCAGGGGCAGGGCCCTCCTTACCATCTTGTCTTGAATTGTATTGTGATTGTAATGTCTTCCTTATATTGTAAAGTGCTGCGCAAACTGTTGGCGCTATATAAATCCTGTATTATAATAATAATAATAATACAGTGTGTAAAGTGCTGTCAAAGCTATATAAATACCTATAACAAATAAATAAATAACAAAATATTTTTTTAAGGGTGCAGTTGGCTTTCAAAGTGTCAAAAGTGCCTTTTTACTATCCTGGACCCCTTCCTATACCGAAGAACAGCTTCTCATTAAAACTCATTAATTTTTTTATTTTTTTTTGTAAACAGGAAAAAAAGAGGAAAAAGAAACAGATGGGAAAATGTCAAATCAAAAAAATCTAAAGTGACCGTTCACAAATAAGGATCAAATGCACAAAAAAGAAAAGAAAAAAACACAAAAAAATAAATAAAAGGAAGAAAACTACCTGGAAAAAAGTCTAAATTATTTAAAAATAAAAGTATTGTTCCTGATGCAAATTTCAATTAGGTCAAGTAAAAAAATTGAGAGTTAACTTCTCAATTTACTTTTCATCCCTAGCTATTACAATTACAAAGCCAAGGACAGAAACTCACACAAGGCAAATTTTACCAAAGGAGTCCTACAAAAAAAAGTCACAAGTCCCTGGGTTCAATCTAAATTAACAAATGCTTTGTATCAAACTGATCAAACAACTGAACTGCATTTGGGTTATTCTTTGGGGAAAGGTAGCTATCCAAAGTGAATAAAAAAAAAACTTACCAGCTAATCTGTTGAAAAGAATCAGAAACTAAAGTCAGACGGACCTTTAAGCTTAATGTAATAATGCGTACATAATAAGTAACTTTAAAGTTGGAACACATGCAATAAACACATAAAGTCCCTCCTATGTTACTTGACTATTTTGCTCTACTATACTGACATCTATTGACAACTTTATGAATTTTTTTTTATATGGCTACGGCTAAAAATACAAGTTTAAAATGACACTAAACTCAGGAATGAAATCTTAAAATTGCATTCAAGTACCTTAACTATTAACAAAAATGTATCTTATTTGTGTATCACTCGGCTGTAGATCCTCAAATCATCTCTGAATTGGTGCTAACACTGTCCTTCCTTCTGGAGGGTGGTTACATCGTCCCTGTGTGTGTTGTAAAGTAGTCACCACCCCATATGCGCTCCCTGATGGACTACAATCTCACGTTCATGTTTTATTTGTATAATTTATTTTTATTAATTTGTAATGATATTGTAGTATATCACAGGAGTGATCTTAGAGCAGTAAATGCTTCACAACACACACAGGGACCATGGGGAACAAAAGTAGCCACCCTCCAGAACGAAGGGCATTGTATGAACCCAAATATCCTACAATCCATCAATGAAATATGAGGGTAGAATTAAAACAAGCATTTATTTAATAGCACACATCACATGCAGACATCAAGGTAGGATTCAGTATTCATTTAAGGACATACCTTGAATAAGTTTAGATGTATGATGTAACTCAGCACGGTAATAATAGAAAAACATACAAAGTAGGGCTGGTAATGATTACAATTTTTGTGTTCGATTAATCGAAATGTTTTTTACACGATTAATCAATTAATTTCAATTAATTATAACGCACATACAGATCCAACTACATTGGCCTATACACATACAGCACAGCAATGACGTAATAAAATGAACTAGGATCACACTAATCCAGCACGTTATTAATCTCACGTGCCCCACTCAATATGGCCGCCGCTTGAGCGGGGCAACTCAGAATAATAATGTGCTAGATTAGTGTGATCCTAGTTCATTTTATTACTTCATTGCTGTGCTGTATGAGTATAGGCCAATGTCTTGGCTGGCGATCGTGTAGAAAGTTTCTTGGGCAAACTCACCGGCCCAAGTGGCTCCGTCGGCTAACGAAGGGGGGAGGAGTCCGGTGACGTCACGGACATCGACGTGACCGGACTCCTCCCCCTTCCCTTCGTTAGCCGACGGAGCCACTTGGGGAAGGGGGGAGGAGTCCGGTGACGTCACGGACATCGCCGACGGGACTCCCGGAAGCCGGCGGAGAGGTGAGTGTTTTCATTAGCTATCAAAATAATTTTAATCGATCAAAAAGTTTAACGATTAATCGAGAAATTAATCTTTAATTTCCACAGCCCTAATACATAGATTTTGAGATTTGTGATGTGGAAGCTCCAATTCCGAGATGATTTGAGGGTCTACAGCTGAGTGATACACAAATAAAATTAAATACGTTTTACAATTTAACTCCTGAGTATATTGTCACAATAAAGTATATATTTTCTTTTTAAAGGCAGGAAAATAGAAATGTCACCTATAAATGTATTTTTTTTTCCAGCCACTAGGAGGTGCTCTAGGTGCATTTTCACATGTTTTTCTCTGTCACATTGCCACATATTACATATTTACATGCCTGGGAGCCACGGGTGCCTGGGATCAGTCGGCTATAAATCCTCAAATCATCTCTGAATTGGTGCTGACACTGTCCTTCCTTCTGGAGGGTGGCTACTTTAGTTTCCCATGGTCCCTGTGTGTGTTGTAAAGTAGCCACCGCACCAAGCTCACTCCCATGATGGACTACAATCTCATGTTTGGTTTACTAATTTGTATTGAAGTTATAGTCCATCGCAGGAGTGAGCTTGGAGTGGTGAGTTCGGTGTCACTTTAACAAAGATAAGACAAAAACATGTTGATCTGATTCTTAAGAACGATCTCTGGTGGATGACCATTGAAAGATCCATACGCTACAGTCATGTCCCAAGCATCAATCATTCCAACGTTAAGGCCACTGAAGATATCCTTTACTAAGAGATACTGAATATACCCGTGAAAGTCACTAAAACGTTCCACATCCAAATTAATCTCTCTGGTGTTTTCAGATTTGATGATGATCTTTGTATTTGGGCTTCGTAAAAACATGTTCTCTATGGCCTTGCGAACATTGAGGAGCCTTCTGATGAAAAGAGAAATAGGAAAAGCTCGGAAATGTAGTCCCAGTGTGATGACAATAACCGTGTCCGAGTTTCCACCAATTTGGTTAATTTGGTGAGTGACATCGGCGTAGTCCTTGGAGTTAAAGAAGCTCAGAGTTACAAAAGGGTGCCCATGTTTCTTCCACTGTATGTAGATGTTGTTGGTTTGATCTATGGCTAAGTAGGTCTTGTGCCAGCCATTTCCATGGAGGTCAAAGAACTTTAGATCTTTAAAAACAAAATTGTAATAATTAAAATCTTTAAAAAAAAATAAAAAAATTTAAATTACAAAGTGTGATATAAATTAAATACACATCATACCAGTAAGTTACAATCTTAAGCAAGTAAATAAAACATCCTTTAGTTTACTTTACTGACTTTCTTTTAAAATCATAAAATATGTTTTGGATTTTTCTAATAACCTAATTGTTTGAAACCTGACCTTACAAGTGTGACCTTCTCCAGTGCTGTTGGATCGATCTTTAGTCCTGAGCTCTGTCCCCCACCACCGCTATCTTCACTGCCGCCACTTTTGGGTTCCCAAGCATCCTCCTTTCCCATTGGGTGGCCACTGATGATGTAACTCCTTCGCATTTGCACAGGAGTTGCATCCTTCCAGACGCCCGCCCCTTCATTCATTGTATTTATAAAATAAAAATTTGCTAGGAGACAGTAGAAGAATTTTGCAGAAGAGACTTTGCATGTCCCTTCTACCAAAACATCCCTACCACCCAGCAATGTATTATTTTATTAACATTACTTCCGCTTTAAGGATGACCTATTTGAAAACATGTGAACTCCTCCTAATATATCTAAGGATATTATGTATAGCCATTTGAAAAATACTATGGATGCACCGATACTGGTATTTTGGTATGGAGTACCAATATTTTTTTTCAGTACTCGCCGATACCGAATACCAAGTACCGGAAGTCCCATTCAGGAAGCTAGGCGGCGTGTAATGACTCGCCACCTGGCTTCCTGATTAGCCGGGAAGTCGGGCGGCGTGTAAAGACTCGCCACCCGGCTTCGACAATTAGCAGGGAAGCCGTCTCCATGCTTCTTGTCACAAGGTGCCGAGAAAGCATGGAGCTGGCTTTCTGGCCAATCAGGAAGCCGGGCGCCATTGGCTGGGAAGCCGGCTCCATGCTCCCTCGTCACTTAGCAGGGAAGCCATCACTAGGTGACGAGAAAGCATGGAGTCGGCTTCCCGGCCAATCAGAAAGCCAGTGTAATGATGCGCTGCCCGGCTTCCTGATGCCGGAAGTCCAAGCCACAAGTGACGAGGGAGTATGGAGCCGGCTTACGGGCCAAACAGGAAGCCGGGCAGTGAGTAATGACACGCTGCCCAGCTTCCTGATACCGGATGTCCAAGCCACAAGTGATGAGGGAATATGGAGCCGGCTTCCCGGCCAATCAGGAAGCTGGGCAGTGAGTAATGAAACTGTTGAAAAAAGGCAATCCCTGTGTTTGACTAGCTAAATCCTCTAAAGCACTCTCCTGATTTCATCCATGTAACTGTGGAAAGCAGGTTTCACGTCTAGAGGCTTTCCTGATGACTGAGGCCTTCCTTGTTCTCAGTCCAAGTTTATAGTCATATGCTCTCTATGCTGTAGCTAAATTTATGAAGGGACTGCCTGCCTCTAGCAATTATAAGAGAGCAGTAGAATATACTGGAACATAGAACATGAATTAAACAGGTATGTGGAACAGATTGATTTTTTGTTCATAATTCCATAAGTCCATAATTGCAGTTACAGTGCAATATTTTCATGTTGCTACCAGTGTGGAAAAGTAGCTTCCTCAGCACAAATAACTCAGCATTTATAGCCATATGGGTAGCTCAGTCATTTTATTTTAATCACTATGGAATATGTTGTGGAAGATGTTAATCGTCCAAGAACATGGTGGTGTGTCTGAAAGTTTGTGGAACCACCCTGTTCTAATTACATATTTCAAACAACACAGAGCCATGAAATCTGGGGCAGGTGTTAATGGTAAACAGTCATGTTCACCTTTTTAGGAGTCGCCCAGTGATGTTCACCTTTTAAGGAGCCGCCCTTAAAAGGATCAGTCAACCTAAAAACAACATTTTAGTTTTGGATTTTCCACAGCATTCATTTTCTACTGTTTCCCTTGACTCTGTTCTACCTCCATTGAGTCATACCCTTCCTGCAGATTTCTCCGAACTACATAGATATAATTACATAGTTACATAGTATTTGAGGTTGAAAAAAGACACAGGTCCATCAAGTTCAACGTTTGTGTGTCTGTGTGTGGGTTGTGTGTGCATGTGTGTATATGAGTCCTTGTGTGGTCTTAGTTTATAAGAGTACCTGTACGCCTGTATGTTATGATCTCCGAGGAAGGAATCTAATTGATTTTTGAACGATTCCATACTCTCAGCTGATACCACTACTTGTGGCAGAGAGTTCCAAAATGTAACCACTCTAACTGAAAAGAAGCCCCTACGCCCTTTGTGGTTAAATCTTTTCTCCACCAATTTTAGGTGGTGGCCTCTAGTCTTTGTTGGGGAGTTACAGTGAAAAGTAGGGATGCACCGATACTAGAATCGGTGCCGATACCGAGTATTTGGGTGAGTACGAGTACAAATGCTCCGATACCTTCCCCAATACCGCAACTTCCGGTCAAAGGAAGATTTCCACTGATCGGCAGTGCCATAGGGGAACATGGAGCCAGCTTCAGTATTCTGGATTACTCACTGCATGAAATTCCTTCTGGTATCCTTGGCTTTGTTCTACCTTCATTTAATTCACGCTCTGTTTGTAAAGGGGGCAGCAGGCCCCATGTTACCTAATGAGATGCCTCCTATGGCAATTGCCTCATTATGGGGACGGACCTAGATGTCATAATAATTCAGAAAAGGAAGGTGGAGAAGATGGTAGGATAGAATTTACTCTTGCTGACATTCCAAGGCACGCTTCACTAATTGGTGGCAGTGGAAGATACTTCAAGCAGTTTTTCAAGGACTTCCTCTTTTCACAACACCTACAGTTCACCCCCTTCACTGAAACCAAGTTTACTCATCTTATCTATTTCAGTACTCACATTTCAGGTGTGCGGGGAAGTATTCTATCCACTGACGAAGTGTTGAATCTCCCATCAGATATATGATTTTACCAGTTAGGCAAGTGGTGATATTGGCCAAGGGTTCATATGAAGACACGTTACAGTGCAGAGGATACCACAAATCATTCAAAAAATACCCACTGGGGAAAGGGAGTGACATACCAGTTTGGCATTTTGGTTTAACTTCTACTGACATATCTGGAAAAGGAATGTAAAATACAAATAAAAAACACACTATGTTTACAGTTTAGCAATTAATAGATATAAAAAAATAGCCTATTTTAGTGTAAAGTGTGGTGAAGCAGTAAAGGCAGCTGAAGCTAGTTATATTTTGGATGGAACAGTGAATGGATATAACCACTCTCAGGTTTTTACTGTTGAGTATACCTAGAATTGAAGAGCTACACCTTGATATTATAGGTACAAGTTTATTCTAAAGACAAACTATATACAACAATCTGTGTTTGGAATAAACTTGTATTAAGGTGTATCGGTTCAATTCTAGATTCACTCATGCCTATCACAACCCAAGGTGATCATGGTAACCCTTTGGTTTTCAGAAGCTGCCAAACCAATATTCAGCTTCTTTATAGCTACACTACTGCCATACTTCTGGATGTATAATATAAAATGAAAACAAAAAGCCTCAGGGTACCATATTACTATTCCACTTTCTTAAAGCCCATTTCAACTTTTGCTGAGATATTTGTTTTTTAAAAAGAAGAAAAACATATGCCAGCAATGTACGCCTGTGAGGGTTCCACTCTGACTTTACTGGTTTGAAACATTCTGGCTTGGCTGCCATTTTACCCACCTGTGTTTCCTTCCTTGCCTGAGCAGACTCTGGAACAATGCTCACTACTCCCGGGCTCCCTCTTGTGGCCAGACAGGAGAGCATCATCTGAGAGAGTCAGATGGGAGTTTCCTGTCTCTGAGTGATGATGTCACCCCACTCACTATATATAAACCACTCCATCCAGTCTGACTTTGCCCTTTTGTGGTCTTCCTGCTAGTGCATTCCTGCTGCTCTGAGTATCCTGATTCTGTGTATGACCCCCACCCTGGCTGACGTTCTCCTCTGGCTCCTGCTCCTGGCTTGTTGCTGACAATGCTGATTTCTTGGCTTCTTCCTGACGACGCTAATCTCTGCGTTCCTGACCTGGCTTGAATGACTACCCACTCCGTCTCCTGACTATGGCTTGTTCCGGTTTATGATTCTACTTGCTCCTGTAGACACTGTTCTTAATAAATGTTTTAACTAGCACCTTTTGCTTGTCTGGTTTTCATTGTGCTCTGACAACACCAAGTGTACATGAAGCAGGAATATGCAGTCGCTGTATACAAACACAAAAAACATACTTTTTTTTGTTAGCTTTCCCCTTTATCTACTCATTAAAATGGCTGCAATTGTGCTTTGCGAGTAATGTGTGTATAATACAAGTGACCTCTCCACCCCCACCCCCTATGCATTAGTATTCATAGTGGCAACCCCCCTCCCCGTGCAATGTATTGTGTGCAAAGGCATAGCTGCTGTTTCATGTTACAATGAATAACTGGGAGGGGGAGAGCTGTTTAGAGTCTACTTTTCACCCAACCCCGGTGTCAGACTGAGTTTCAGCAGCACAGGTACACAGGGAGTAAGCCAGGAGCAAAGTTGTGAAACAAGCCAAGGTCAAACACAGCCAGGCAGTGGAGGTACAAAAACAGCAACCAGAAAGCACAGTCTGGGTGCAAAGCTAGAGTCAGGAACCAGGGGATTGAGATATCGCAGAGTCGAACAAACCAGGTCAGATCTCAGGAGAAACACACAGGTCAGGTCACAGGAAGCAGAAGCTGACAACCACTCAGCAACTTCCCTTTGCTGAGGCTCAGGTTTAAATCGGCAGTAGTTGTTTTCTACATTTGTATGCAGCCTGGAGGTCCGTCCTCCCCCCACACCATGTAACTCTCTCCTCCATGGTCGCCTCTGTCCGAAGAGTTTCAAGATGGAGAGCAGTGAGCAGAGCGGAAAACGTCCGTTCTCCGCTCTGCTCTATGTAAACAGTGAGAGGGGAGAGCTGCACTTGCATCCTTCCCATCTCAGCTGTCACAGGAGTTCCAGCACAGTGCTGTGCTAGAACTCCTGCATTGGAGGTGACAGGTTCAATAAAGAGAACCTGTCACCTCCAAATGCTATCACACAGGGGCTTGTTATCTCCTGTGTGATAGCAATAAAGTTAAGAGGGGAACAAAATTATGAAATAAATAAAAAGTTTAAAAAATAATAAGAAATAATAAATACAATTAAGAAATGTGATTAAAAAGTAAAAAATTATAAGAAAAAAATGTATTAAAAAAAAGTAAGATAAGTAAAAAATATATAAAAACAATTCCGACTAGGTAGCCTTCTATATGGATTGCTATGGGTTATTGCACTGTGGAAGCAGCAGTCAATATGGTGTCCTGTGGTTCAAGGCAAAGGACTCTTGATAGTAGAGTTTAATCAGAAGGGAAGAGCCTTTAGGAGGCCAAGTGGGACCCTGGTCTAGGTCTGATGGCAGCAATGTAACACAATGATTGACCATTAATCCACTAATTATATGGCAAGCATTGGTATCACAGCTCTGGTTTTAACCCCCCAGCCCTGTATCTGAGGTGGTGGTGTTGTGTATGTGCTGCTAACCTCAATGATAACATGACTGTGAGTTCAAATCCCCATACAACCATTGTTTCAGATATATTTATTAAAGTTGTATAAACTGCGGAAACCAATGGAACCCCATTGGCTTTAGACTAGGTAGCGTTTCATATTGATTGCTTTGGGTTATTGCACTGTGCAGGTAGAGGGCATCTTTTATTTCAAGGCAATGGACTCTTGAAAGTAGAGTTTAACCAGAAGGAATAGCTTTTTGGAGGCTGTTTAACCATTAATCCACAATTCGTATGGTGTATAATGATATCACAGCTCTGGTTTGGGCCCCCCCCCCCCATCTGAGGTAGTGGCGTTGTGTGTATGCTGCTGACCACAAAAATAAAATGGTTGTGAGTTCGAATCCCCCGGGGACCACATTTTCAGATTTATTTATTAACCAATTGGCTTTCAGACTAGGTAGCCTATCATATTGGTGGCTCTGGGTTATTGAACCTTGCAGGCAGTTGTGATGGTGTCCTTTGGTTCAAGGCAATTGGCGCTTGAAAGTAACTGAGTGAAGTGGGAGGCTATCCTAGGTCTAACGGCAGCGATTAAATACAATGGGTGACCATTAAACCACTAATTTTCTGGTAGGCAATGATATCAAAGCTCTGGTTTTGGCCCCGCCCACCAACTGAGCCAGTGGCGTTGGGTGTATGCTACTGACCATAAACATAAAATGGTTGAGAGTTTAAATCCCCAGGTGACCACCCTTTCAGATTTATTTATTAAAGTTGTATAAATTGCAGAAACCAGTAGCAACCAATGGGTTTTCAGACTACGTAGCCTTTCATATTGGTGCCTCTGGGTTATTGAACTTTGCAGGCGATTGAGATGGCGTCCTTTGGTCCATGGCAATGGACTCTTGAAAGTAACTGTTTGTTTTTTACCAGCTGGAGATAGTCATTGAGGCCAAGATTAATTTAACCATTAATCCGCCAATCATATGGTATGTCATGATATCACAGCTTTAGTTTTGACCCTGCCCACCATCTGAGGCAGTGGTCTTGTGTGTAGGATGGCGATCTCACTAATAGAATGGTTGTGAGTTCGAATCCTCAGATGGCCACCTATTCAGATTTATTTATGAAAGTTACATAAAGTGCAGAAACCGATAGCTGTATAGACAGCTTTCCTACCGGGTATGGTTCATATTGGTTGCTACCGGATACTGCACTTTACAATTTATATTACCTTACTTGATCACCTCAGTTGAATTTGAGTTGTATTACCACTGCTCACAGGCTCAATCATCCAGAGCTGTAGCTCAGCATGAAGGGTGACGATTGTGGAATCTGAAGGCCGAGTGTTCGATTCCCAAGGTAGCGCAAACTACCTAATGGCTGTTTGGGGTGAAACAGCAACAATGTGCTTGGTGGAATGTAAAGGGGCATCCCTGGTCACAAAAACCTGGTGAGAGGTTAAGGTGTGGACCTTCTCCCCCAGGGTCCCACTTGGCGTCCCTGGTCACAAAAACCCGGTGAGAGGTTAAGGTGTGGACCTTCTCCCCCTAGAACTATGAGGTGGTTGGCACCATGTGAATGAAGAGGTATCCAACCAGGTGAGAGGTTAAGGAGCTGACCGTCTCACCAAATAACTATGAGGTTTGCACCGTGTGAATGAAACCTCAGTGACATACACTCAAGCCATGAATGGGCATCTCTCATCACAAAAACCTGGTGAGGGGTTAAAGAAGGAGTGGACCTGCTCCTCAAAGAACTGTGAGGTTGGCACCATGTGAATGAAACATCAGTGAAGTAAACTCCAGCCATATGACCTCGGTGTCCAGGGAGACATGTGAATGAAATGCCAAAGATAGGTGCACCTTACCATGCAAGGGGGATATGGTGACCTGGCAAGTTGGAAGAGGCTAATGCTTCACAGAAAAACAAGCAACAGTATTGTTTTTGCATAAATTAAGGAAATGTTCAAGAAACGTTGCCCTGTTCTCTCTGTCCACTCCACCATCCTCAGGGCAAAGCTTTCCTTGGACAGGATCATTCGGCTACTTCACCAAGGATGGTGATCCACACCATCACTTCAAGTTTCCCAAGGAAGGTGGTCCTCACCACCACATGTTCAAGCTCTGAGCACTTCCACTGGGTCTTCACACAATTTTGCACCCATCACACAACCAGTGGTCTTGGTCCTGCTTCAAGTGACCAACTTTGCACTCACTGGTGGGAATCGAACCCATAACCCCCTGATTTAGGTTCCAGGAGCCTTACACGCTGCACCACAGAACCAGAAGACAACAGAATGAGTTGCTCATGTTCCTATATCATGGAGATTGGCTCTCTGAGCCCATTGAACACTAAAACAAACATGTTACCACAGAAGAGATTCAAACCAGGAAAGCCAAGGCCTGCAGCTTTCTAAAGCAGCAATCAAACCACATGCACCACAAGGGCTGGACATGTGCAAACCTTCTCAGTAAAAGTATATACTAAAGACAACTTTGGAGGTGGGACTATAAAAAGTGTACAGGGGCTCATAAATCACAGAATTTACCTCTCTACATGCAGATTTGAACACACTACCTAGTGCGTACAAGATGAGCACTCTACCCACTGAGCTACTTCAACTGCACGCAGAATGCAAATCACTGTGCACACTTCACTATTCTTCAGAAGTTCATCAATGGCCAGGTAGAAAGTATTTACATGGGTGCTGAAAGCAAAGAAAACCTACCTTGATTTGGCCAACCAATATGCTGAGTTGCCATCACTTCCCTGGCAGAAAGCCATTGACACAAGTGCCTAGCACAGGCCACATAGCACAGAGCCATGGTGCAGCGGGAAGGATTCCAACAAAATTGTCAGGATCCACCCCAGCTCCCTAAGTGACAGCTGGCTCCGCCTCTAGAAGTCAGCTGTGCCCTTCTTTTCCCCATTCTGTCCTTCCAATGAGCACTTTAAGTAGGGTCGCCACCTTTTCTTCAATCAAAACTCGAACACACTCGAGTGACGCACGGACATTTTTTGGGGAGAACGAGTCCTTGCTTATGTAAATAGTGCCCCCCATTCATATGTAAATATCACAGTTGAGACTATTTTCGGTGGGGGGGCCAGTAGTCCCTATCTTAATTTTGGTTGCCCCGTCTAGCTGACATCTTGTGTCCAGGTTTCTGCTGCCATGAAACCCGGACACAGCATTCAAAACCCAAACTGTCCAGGTGAATCCTGGACAGGTGGCAACCCTAAGTCTATGCCTAATTAATTAACCACATAATCCCAGGCACTATTGTATTAGCCAATGTAAACCTTCAACGTGGACAACGTCTACATGCATTTATGCGGACATAGGTGTGTGCATGGCGATGCGCACATGCAGATCTTTGCTCATTACTACGCACACAATTTTCCTAACAGCAGGTCATCTAGGTTGCCACCACCAAAGCTCTGCCATTGACTGGCATACTTTTCTGTAGCTGAAAGCGCCCTGAGAAAGAGGTGCAGAACCTTAAAATGCGTTGACTTCTTCATTTGAATAAAACCTTTTTGATGACCCTTTCCATTACTTTTTGGATCCATTTGTGCCTAAACCCGTGTGTATCATCTCCAGTAAAGGTCTGTGCTACTTCTTCTTATGTTCTCTGATAATTAAACACTGACAGAGGCTTCTCATGTCATCTAACTCCCTGTTTCACCTAAATTATAAATAGTTACCATTACAAGCATGGGAACTAGATACACATTAGAAAGTTTATTAGTGGAAGATAACCAAGATTGTCGCTGGGGGAAGCCGGGGTTTCAGGTGGGCTGTAGGTGGGCCCTGGGGCCGGGCCGCATCTTACGTGACCCCGGCCCAGCACCGCCTCCGGTCCTGCCTCCTCCACCCAGCAGCTCTCTCAGGTAAATTAGGCAGCCACGAGACCGAACAAGCGGCCGCCTAATTTGCCTGATTAGGCAATGTGCCGTCCCCCTGCAAAGTGCCGCCCAAGGCAAACGCCTTGTTTGCCTTGCAGCGGATACGCCACTGAATGGCACCTGGGACACATGCCCCCCCTGGCTTTGGCCCTGCATGTGTAAATTTCAGCCCTCTGAAATGAGCTCTACTTGGGAGAAATTTTCAGTCACTTGAAAGATAATTCCACTTTTACCCACCAAAACGCACAGAACAATGTTTTATTTCCTGTTGTTTTAACACATCGTATTCACACCATGTAAGTAGAGCATTTTATTTGCATGACATTATGTTAAAAATTATAATTATAACTATTAAATGAAATTTAAAAAGGCACCTTCATAACAACCCACTAGCTCCTTAAATGTTTTAGGACTCCATCGGTCAGACTTTTCCACCAGAGTATACTCACTGCCACCATTACACTACAATTGCACAGGCATTTAACGTGGACCAATGCCTTCTGCGGCTTTTATTACATTTGTACTTGTTTAAAATGAGATAAGCAAAATAAATATCACCAGATGTAAGGCTGGGTTCACACCTAGGCGTATTGAATATGCGCGTTTGTCGCGCGTTTCGCGGTAAAAAAAACGCGCAACAAACGCACGTTTCCGAGGGCTACTTGGCTGTATCCCAATGGAAACGTGAGACCAAAATGCCCCAAAGAAGTACATGTACTTCTTTGGGCGTAGGCCGTTTTGTAGCGAGTTCAGACGGGCTGAAATACGGAAAGGTGTGAACCATACCCATAGAAAACAATGGGATTTTCAAGTTTGTACGTTTTGTAGAGCGTTCATAGAGCGTTGAACGCGCGACAAAACGTAAAGGTGTGAACAGGGCCTAAAGCAGAAAGCAAACATGAAAAATAGCCCCAAAAACTCAACTCGTTGTACTGTTAATAGCCCATTAGAGATACAATAACATACTTTATAATTATTGCTTACAAGACACAGCCAAACTCAGTTTAGCATCAACCCACTCCAAGGCATCAAAGTCAAAAGGTTTTTGAGTTATTTGAAATGGTGATTTTGTTTCCTGCAGAATCAGCTTGTCCTCTGAGTACTGGCTCTGATATCATGTTTTAGGTGGCTCCTTTCCCTTGCAGGGCCATATGGAGTCACCCTTGTGTGTGCTAGTAAGCTGTGTGTGTCTGCACAAACACACAGGCAAAGCAAGGCAAGCCACTCCTCTTCTCCCCCCTTCTTCCTCCCTTCTCTCGTCTCCCTTCTCCAAGCTAATACATGAAAAGCTGCTGGAGTCTGCAGATATATATAGATATATTATAGATACTATGTCAACATAACAATAGTAACACCATTGTGGCTGTACAGGTGTGTGAAAGTTTTGCTCTCAGCCTCACCCTGCGCAGGGACTTTCCATCTCGTGGGACAAAATTCTAAGCACCAGTAGACCGAGAGTGACCATCACTAGGGCAAGCAATTTACCCTTACACACACACTCAGTATCCACCACTATGTGTTTTAACAGAAACATGCACCATTAACAGCATCTGCTGTTGCAATTCTGTCCTTAAAAAAAAATCTGTATCACACACTTCCACATGCAGACAGGAATGTAACAGAGTTACACTAATGTAGACCTTAACAGGAGGCAAAGTTGTTTTAACTTCTTATTAAAGCATTCATAGATTCAGCTTAAAGAAGAATTAAAGTTTTTTTGTGGGCATATATCTACTCTAGTAAGCAGTAGATATATACCCCAACATTAAAAAAAAGTTGGCAAATACTAAGAAACTTACCTGCGTCAGCGCCGCTCACTCCTGGCTGCAGAAGTCCCGGCTCCCGAACGCTGTGAAGGAGGAAGTGTGGGCGGGCGCATGCGCAGTCCAGAGCATCGGGGGGGAGGGGAGGAGAGCGGCACAGAAGCAGAATGGAGGCAGCCGGGAGCAAGTCGGACAGACATTGTATAATTTATATGCAGCTCCTGCCCCTTCTATCCAATTGGATAATCTGAGTGGACGGTAACCTACTGTAACCATGGTAACCACCAATAAGTGTAAAAATAGAAATCTGCAAATTAATCTGGGTCCTTTCTAAAGGGTCCCACCTATGTTGGGAGTATTGTCCACATTTTCTATCCAACCCCAGTAGGAGAAGTAATTTTTCTGTAAGTTGTATTACATTTATTTTAATAGTTTGCATATTTATGTCTAACTTTGTAACTTTTTGTAACCCTTTGGACTACCCACCTAGGGCCTCACAACAACTCGCCAGTGTGCTGGTATATCTCCAAGGACATGCAATGGATGGTAATACCTGGTGCGTTGTCTGGCCTTCCTTGTCCCTATACACCTTGGTACCCCCTAATCCATGAGACAGATATAAAACAACAGTTAACATCTTCTAACCTTTAAACAATACGAATTAAATAAAATCCTTATTATTTGCTTTTAATGGTGGACTGGTTTTCCAAAAGCCACGCTTGAAAGTAGGTGGATCTTTTACAGCTTCCATTTGAGGAATTTATAGTAGATGTTAATGGTAAAAATAATGCTTACCTTGTGAAAAGCATCTTCTCTTCGTCAGTAAGATAAGCATGGGGCGTGTTCTCACTCCTCATTGATATTAAAGCCTCACAAGGAACACCAGGTAACTTCATACAATAGAAGAACTCTCCATATGTATCATCCCCATAATCACATTTTTCTCCTGGCAAGTTCAACTGAAATCCACACTCGGTGTGAAACTCTTGGCTTTTATTGAGAAATTTACCTATATATTTAATGTTTTTGTACCCCTGGTTCCTTGCTCTCCATAAAGAAGAAACTGCTTCACTGGGATGCATTAAGAGTATGGATATTTGCACCCGCCCTTCCCAAAATAATTTAAAATACACATAATATGTTCCGTTGTTGAAGTCCTCCGATCTCCCAGAAGCTGCAGCTCCTAGATTTGGTGTAAAGATTCGGGCTCGTAAGAAGTCTCCTCCATAAGTCTTCTTTTCCCCTAAATAGTTAAACATCTGAACTTTAACAATTAAGGTGTCTCCAAGGCAGTATTTGGGTTTATAATTTAATATTGATGCTGTACTGTTGGCACCACTACTTGTTTCAGTTAGGTCACTGAAGACCACATTTGGAATTGTTCTATTTATAAGGTCTAATTTGCATATCACTTGCTGTTCTAAGTCATTGGGCTTGGCTGTTGTAGACCTTGTAGGTTGAGCAGTTGTAGGAGACCCAAAATGGGTTAACTGAACATTTGGTAGTTGCTAAAAAATATGGAAAAGACACATAAATAATGCAGAAAGTATTAAATCATAACTTATAATATATATATTAAAAAATATAAGCACCAGCACAGTAAATATACACTATATTGCCAAAAGTATTGGGACACCCCTCCAAATCATTGGATTCAGGTGTTCCGTGAAATGTCCCCGCTACTAAATATTCCACGGTCAACTGTTAGTGGTATTATAACAAAGTGGAAGCAACTGGGAACAACAGCAACTCAGCCACCAAGTGGTAAGCCACATAAAATGACAGAGCGGGGTCAGCGCATGCTGAAGCGCATAGTGGGCAGAAGTCTCCAACTGTCTGCAGAGTCAATAGCTACAGACCTCCAAACTTCATGTGGCCTTCAGATTGGCACAACAACAGTGCATAGACGGCTTCATGGAATGGGTTTCCATGGCCGAGCAGCTGCATCCAAGCCTTACATCACCAAGTGCAATGTAAAGCGTCAGATGCAGTGGTGTAAAGCACGCCACCACTGGACTCTAGAGAGGTGGAGACGTGTTCTCTGGAGTGACGAATCACACTTCTCTGTCTGGCAATCCGATGAACGTGTCTGGGTTTGCTGGTTGCCAGAGAACCGTACTTGCCTGACTGAATTGTGCCAAGTGTAAAGTTTGGTGGAGGGGGGATTATGGTGTGGGGTTGGGCTTGGCCCCTTAGTCCCTGTGAAGGGAACTCTTAAGGCATCAGCATTCCAAGACATTTTGGACAATTTCATGCTCCAAACTTTGTGAGAACAATTTGGGGATGGCCCCTTCCTGTTCCAACATGACTGCACACCAGTGCACAAAGCAGGGTCCATAAAGACATGGATGAGCGAGTTTGGGGTGGAGGAACTTGACTGGCCTGCACAGAGTCCTGACCTCAACCCGATAGAACACCTTTGGGGTGAATTAGAGTGTAGACTGTGAGCCCGGCCTTCTCATCTAACATCAGTACCTGACCTCACAAATGCACTACTGGAAGAATGGTCAAACATTCCTATAGACACACTCCTATACCTTGTGGACAGCCCTCCCAGAAAAGTTGAAGCTGTTATAGCGGCAAAGGGTGGGCCAACTCAATATTGAACCCTACGGACTAAGTGGGATACCATTAAAATTCATGTGCGTGTAAAGGCAGGCGTCCCAATACTTTTGGCAATATAATGTATCTAAGGTTTATATTTAATCATTATTCACCAACATAACCAATAGAAATGAGTAAAATTCTGAAAATGTTGATCAGTTGTGGCTCTGCCAAACTTTTCAAAAATTGTCGAACCTCAAAGAATTTCAGATATGGAAGTCCCATCCAAGTCAATGGAAATCTGAACCAGGCTCCAAAAAAAAGGTGTGTATTATAGAGCAGCAAATGATGCAAAATTGGTTTTAAAGACAAAGTGGACAGTGAAGATATGCATAAAGGAAAATTGTATAGCAGATTAAGATATGATGAAAAATATGGATGTATAAAATGTTTATAAAATTATTATGTAAAATAGAGATTGTCATTAAATAAAATAAAAATATATTTTAAAAAAATATGTAAAATTGTGCTGAATGGTTTGGGAAGCTCCTGGCAACCCTGCCTGACGAGGTCACGGGGCTGAAAAGTCTGAGCTACTTCCTTTAAAAAAATTCTGCTAAGGATACAAAAATAGAGGGTGGGTCTAGCACTCATGCTAAGCGTGTTCAGGGAATAGCAAAAATAGATATAAGGCATAAAGAGTGTTTGAAGCAGATGTGGTCTTTTTCTCCCAGAAGCCTTTTGGAAATCTAAACTGTGAAAAATAACAATTAAATTTATATTCAGATTTGGCCATCCAATTCCAGTAAGAATTTAACATAATCTGGGATCAACTCAATCAAGTAAGATGAAGGATTAATGCAGTTATCCTTAGTCGGCCTTCGTCCATTCCCTCAGCTTTTTTAGCAATTGGACAAAGAAAATATCCCTTCCCTATTCATTCCTATGGATGAACTGAACTCCACTGGATGGCTGGGGGTCACCAAGAATAAGACCCTTCTATGAGAATAAATGGGACTGTGGTGCACATGAGCAGAAGGAGGAGAAGCCAGACTGGATGTTTTCCTTGCAAAGGCTGTGCGGTGCCAGGCAGGGCACATAGTAAAAATCCTGAAAGTGGGGAGGAAAGAAAGTATTTTGCCAGGTTGGTAGTTTAGTTAAATGACATCTTAGCACAAGAACAAACATGTAATATATTGCAACTTACCAGTCCTTAGATCTAGAGGCAAAGTACATATTCTGCATGTACGGAAAAATTCCTGTTAATCCTGCCAGAAATCTTTGTAACTTCCTGTACACTGAACTGAAAGATCAAACAATGTTCAGCCTTCCTAGTTATCTTCTGGAGATGAGGAATGTGTGTGTGTGTGTGTGTGTGTGTGTGTGGGGGGAGGGGGGTGTAGTCCTTACATGCTTCCTGTCCTAGAGGGACAGTGTTGCTCCTTCATATATACAGTGCAGTAAGTGAGGACAGGAAGTATGTTACTGTCAGGATTAACAAGTGAAAATAATAAGGGGGAAAAAAAGCTTGAAAAAAAGAAAAGTAATGCAGCCACCGCATCTAAGGAGTGGTAAGGTGCAAATCTTAGTTTTACATATGCTTTAAAGGACAAATGTTCTAAAGGTACAGCAATAAAAAATTAGGTATCTTGCCCTGACACACATGGCTATACTGTGTGTCAGAGCTGTGCAAATTTTAAGACTGGGTGTACAGAAATACAAAGCCTTTGGTAGGTAAACCAGCTCCTCCTTCATCTGTGTATTTAGCCATTTGCCTGAAGTGCAGATTTAAGTTTTAAGGCCATTCCCCTAAAATTAATATTTACTTTTTGAAAGGCTTATATCATGCACTGGACAAAAATTGGGGACCTCAACAGAAAGATCAACCCTTAGGAGTTTCCAGGAGCCAAAACCGAAAATGGGAGTTTTACAGCTTCTTGCGTTCTTCTGAAAAACAACAGAAACTGAAATGTTGGCATAGGGAACACTTCACTTTTCACAAATATAATATATGATCCAATTATTTTCAGATTGTGTTTAAAATGGCTCAAATGATTACCTTCTAAAATGTTCGCTTGTCTTTCACATTCAGAACAAAATAAAAATAAATTACAGCTGGAGATGAGACTTGAAATGTATTGGTGGATTCATTTTTTATACTGAAGCTCTCATGCCTATTAAAAATAAAATACCTGGACTAGTTTGTGGTCAATATTGAAGATCAATCCTGTGATACAAAGAAACAGAATGGCCCATATGATTGTATGTGCTTTACTTGGCATTCCCCTGGCCCTGGAAAATAAATGAATGAATGAGTGTAAATAGGGACAATCATAATGAGAACAAGAATCCTATCCTATATCCCATTTTTTCGTCTGGAGATCTACTTTTCAAATAACGACCTCAATTAGATCCACTAACAAAAAAACACCTGCATTCAGGGGCGGGAGGGAGCGTGGCGGTGCATTGAAGTAAATGGCACTGCAGCCACGCCCTCGCCTGTAACCGGAACGCAGGCACTTTAGTGCCTGCGTTCCGGTCCAGTGCGATCTGCAAAAATGCTGCTGTGATAGCGGCTCCTTCCTCCGCCTGCTGCAGCGCTTCCTTTACTTCTCCTCGGATTCCCGCTGCATACAGATGGGGGAGAGCAACGGGGATCCAGAGGAGAAGCCCCGCGGCGGGAGGACAGGACATCACGATCTACCAGTGTTTGCTACGCGATCGACTGGTAGATCACGATCGACCGAATGGGCACCCCTGCTGTATCCTATTGGACAGGATATAGAATATAGGATAGAATATAGAATACAGAAGAATATTGACTACCAGGGTCCCTAAGAAGGGTAGGATGTAAGTGTACAAATCAGCCTATCAACAAAACCATTACTGAGATCGCAGTTGTGGATAAACTGAGCCTTTAAAGTGACATTAAACCCTCAGATTTTTTAACATAAACCAATACTGTAATGTGTGCCTTACTGTAATCCATGGTTGTTTCCCTTCTCTTTGCGGCTCTTCCTTTTAAATCCTCATGTCTTCTCATGCTCTGCAGAACTTCCCTTTGCAGCTCAGGGCCTCTTCCTGTAGTGCTGGCTCAGGTTACAAACCTATAGAAACGTATACACAGACACCGTATATCCATTCCTGAGACAAGGCAGTCTGCTGCAAAACAGAAGTTCTGAAGAGCATGAGAACAGATACAGATTTAAAAGGAAGAGCAGCAAAGAGAAGGGAAACAACCATGGATTACAGTAAGGCACACATTACAGTATTGTTTTATGTAAAAAAATCTGAGGGTTTAATGTCACTTTATGCTTTAAAATCTTCTATTCACAGACTTTACTGTTCCAATTGTGCTGTTTAATCATCTCAGACACAGTGCATGGCACAAATTATACTTCTGCTCTTTGCATAAATTTATGATCTTAGGTGCCTAAGTTGCAGGTCTGCTGAATTGAGCAAATAACCATAATTCAAGACTAGCCGTTCACAATAAAGAAAATGTTCCACTACATTTCAAGCACTTAACGGACGTATGGACGGAATATATTTACCCAGTTAGAGCAATATGTTTAGCAATATGTTTAGCATGTAAATGTTTGCTTTGCTCTTACCTATGCTTTGGGGCTATTTGTTGGCGTGTATGGAAAAATTTGACCGGTGGAAAATCCTATATTTGCATGAATAATCGACAGTTTAAAGCAGACACATCTACAACAAATACATGCAGGATGGAGTTAGTCAGGGGTCACTTTAGATACAGTTTTCCAAGGGGCCCATTTATAAAGCAGCGGTGCCTAAGCCCCTGCTTTAAAGAAAGAAAAAAACAAAAAAAACACCACCATATACTTACAAAGCACAGCGATCTGCTTTACAAATGTGCATTGTGCTCTGCTTCGGGATGCCGAGCATGCAGATAGCAATTAAATACGTTTTTTTTTTAAAAGGGTGGTCATCTGACTTG